CCGTGTCCTGCATTGTCTCTAGGGGGTTCTCATTGTGCTCCTCTAGAGGATTACTGGTATTTGGTGGGGATATGTTATTTTGGTTTTTCATGTTATTATTTTTTCTCTGTGATTTTGACATGTGAATTTCTTTTGTACTTTCTGACTCTTGTGTGATACTCCAGCCTTCAAGTTTAGTTCTACTTATTTTTTTGAACTTTATGTGTCTTTGTGGTTTCCTTTTCGGTATGAAGAGCTGGTTTGTCTAAGCTTCTGCTTCTCTCTTTTGATTTTATATTGTCTTGGCCAGATTGATTTTGTGTTCAGGAGTTCCGTGGTGGCCCAATTCCAATGTGGGTCAGAAGTTTTCAGACTTTCTCCTTAGGTCTGGAATCTTCTAAGAATGATTTTGGCCTCAGGAACTTGGGTGTTGGACTGACCTGAGACCCTGAGTGGCTGCGCTACACAGGAAAGCAAAGGCAGATGGGGTGGGAAGAAGCCCCAAGATTTCCCAGGGAGTGGATTGAGTAGCTGGGTTGTACTGGATACAAAGGATCAGGGAGAGGAAAGGTAAGCCTCGGAGCCCCAGAAAGAGGCTGTCAGCCCCAGCAAGAGGCTGGCAGGTGTTGCAGGACCAGGGAAGTAGAGGGAGGTGAGGGCGGGGCCAGGTCCAGAAGTGGTGTCCCTGGGGCCCAAGAAAGGCACTCAGTTGGTCTGGGTGAGAAGGGTCAGGAAGCAGTATTGGTTCCCCTGGTGTCTGGGGCGCCAAGTCTAGGGATGGTGAAGGTCCCAAACTAGGAGTCGCGAACAGCAAGGGAGATGGAATGGTGAATGTGGCTTGGGGAGTCTAGGCATGGAGGGCTGAGCTATAGATTTACCCCAAGACGCCTGAGTATAGGAGTGCAGGCTGGGAGAGTTAGCCCGTGGTGCAGGTCCAGGGACCCAGAGAGAGGTGAGGGCGGGGCCAGGACCAGAAGCGCTGCTCCTGGGGCCCAAGAAAGGCACTCAGTTGGTCTGGGTGAGAAGGATCAGGAAGCAGTATTGGTTCCCCAGGTGTCTGAGGCCCCAAGACTAGGAGTGGCGCTGGTCCCAAACTGGGAGTAGCGAACAGCGGGGGAGATGGAAGGCTGAATGTGGCTTGGGGAGTCTAGGCATGGAGGACTGCGCTTTAGACTTGCCCCAAGAGACCTGATGATAGGAGTATCTCTTCTCTTTTTTAAGAAAATATTTTATATTTATTTGGTGTTTTTAGACAGGGTCTTGCTCTGTCTCAAGATGTCCTGGAACTCACAATGTAGACCAGGCTGCCCTCAGCCTCACAGAGATCTGCCTGCCTCTGCCTCCTGAGTATGGGGATTAAAGGTATGTACCACCATGCCTGGCTATTATTATTTTTTAATTATGTGTATCTGTGTGTGCGTTTGTGCATGTGATTGCAGTGCCCACAGATTCTCCTAAAGCTGAAGTTACATGCACTTGTAAACTACCTGATATAGGTGCTGGAACTTGAACTTGGATCCTCTGGAAGACCAGGATGTGCTGTTACTTGCTAAGTCATCTCTCCAATCACTCTCTTATGATTTAAGCCCATGAATCTATCACCGATGCTAATGAAATAGAAAATGGCAAAATTAATGTACAATGTTCTATGAAGTTAAAAATTATCTGGGGTAAATGTGAAAACTGTTAATGAATGACATTTGAAGGAGTCAGGGAAAGGGGAAAATAGAGGAGAGGAGAGGTTAGGAAGGTAAAAGAAAAAGAGGTATGAAGAACATTATAACTGGGAAACGGGTAAACAATTAGAGAAAAGAAAAAACAAAAACTCCAAACAAACAAAAACCACCACCAAAAACAGATAATGTAAGATGTATACAAATGTAAGAAGGGGGCGGGAGAGAAATGTAAGCCTTGAGAAAAAAAAAGATAAAGTCAGAATACTATTAAAACTGTAGTAGAGAGAGAATAAAGGGAACCAAGTAGCGAAAGATAAATGAAGAATTTAAAAAGAAAACAAAAAAGACTATCCAAAAATGAAAAGTATGTGTAAATACATTATACAAATGTATGATGGGGAATAAAAATATAACAATGAAAAGTTTTAAAAATATGATAAAATAGCTGGGCATGGTGGCCCATGCCTGTAGTCCCAACACTTGGGAGGCAGAGACAGGCAGATCTCTGTGAGTTCAAGGCCAGCCTGGTCTACATAGTGAGTTCCAGGCCAGCTGGGGCTACAGGGAGACCCTGTCTCAAAAAGACCAGAAAAAAAGATGAAATAAAAATAATGCTAAAAGTATACTTTAAAAAACTGCTTTTGCAGAGGACCTAGGTTCGATTCTTAGCACCCACATGGCAGCTACGAACTGTCCTTAACTCTGGTTCCAGGGGAATCCAAAACCCTCTCCTGACCTCTGCCGCATTGCATGACACTGGTGTACTCACAAACATGCAGACAATACATTCATACACATAAAACAAAAAACAATAAAGTCTTTTTAAAAAGTGTATGTGGACCATCACAGGAAATATGAAGCATTGGACCAGCCTCTTTCTGGTCCAAAACTTGGAGTCTGTTATACATTCTTCTGGTTGGGAGATTCAGTTGCTACTGTGGACTCTTGTCTTTCTTGTGGGTCATGCCACTGTTGAGTGCATCCTGGGAAAGTTGCAGAGCTGGCTTTCTAGTAGCTTCCCTTCTATGCTGGGCAGGCTCTCTCATCCTCACATCATACACCCTGGCGTTGTTAACGTTCTAGCCGGCTGGAGTCTTCTAAGTGTATTTCTGTGGGAAGCAACCAAGGTCTCTCTGTACAGGTGGAGAATCTGTCCATTCTTTCAAGGTCTTGTAAGTATTGACACAGAGAGATCCCACCCAGTCAGAGGGCTGTCCTTCATTCAGAGTTCTTGTTCTCTATAGCAGTGAGCAGCAAATGACCATCCACAGAGGAGTCACTGTCACACCAAGCCTGCTACTGGATTTTGGTCTGTGTTCCTGTGTGTGTGTCTGCCTCTCTCCACCAGGCTGTGTGGCTTGCCTTTTGGGTGGGGAGTCTGCTTCCCCTCTTGCTGGGCAGCCCTGGCTGGAGGTGGGTCGCCAAGATTTTATGTTTTTGATGTACTTTTCAGCAGTTCTGTCACTGAGTTTTTGAACTGTTGAGACTCTTCCTCTTTTTGAAACAGTCTATTCTTATCTTTTTGGTTGTGAGCCTGAGCCTTTAATAGCTGTGCCCGCTCTCCAGCTCAACAGTCTATTCTTATAACAAGGTCACCAAATGCCTAAATCTCTGTGAGGTTAACTCTTTATCAGATGTATATTGTGAGGGAGGAGGAAGCATAACCATGGAAGCTGTTTCAACCTAAAATCTGTGCAGATTTAATTAACTAGTGGATTCTGTCTTTCCATAGTCTTCTTGTAAGGCAATATTACCAACTAATCTTTTCGATTCTTTTTTAAAGCTGGCCTGACTGAATTTAGTGTCCACCACTATGAAGTGTAAATTTGGGAATTTTTTCAGTTATCTCAACTTTCTTTGCCCATTAGAGTGCTCCAAATCCCTCTACCTGGAGACTCTGTGGCCTACTGTGGGCTCATAGAGAGAACACACAGTCGGCACCACCGACTCTGCTGAGTCAGCCCCCACAACTTAGTGTGATTCTAACACACACTAGAGTGAGAAGCACGGATTTAGAACTTGGCACCTTGCTGCCATTTGAACCTGACCCTCTCTGGACCAGGGAGGTGAGGCGACAAGCCCAGCAGTAACAGCTGTGCCAAGAACAGGCAGCACCGGGGGTGGGGAAACACACACTTCGCACCATACCAAGTCCTGCTTGCACAGGAAGACAACCACTAAAGATAGGCTGCCTTGGAAGGGGACCTCAGGGACATCTGCAGGCTGTGGAGCAGGGGGAAAGGGTGGAACAGGAAAGGGAGGAAAGCCGGTTCCTGCACTCCCAAACCCACACTTAGTCTAGGTGCTGCTTCCCCTGTTTTAGCCCACAGCTTCTGCCCATCACCCCTCTGCTTGACCTTTTTCTCTAGTTGCATTTGCCCCATATTAGAACGGCACTATCTAAAACTTCTCCATGAATTAGAAAGTTTAAGTCTTCTGGGACTGAATGTTCCTGTTTTCCCAGTTTGGCAGTCCTGTGCTTTTATGGTGTAGTCACGATGAAACCTGAGTCATCTTACCATAGCTGGTGCCGAAGAGGGTGTAGGGGAGGCAGCTACAGGCAAAGCAGACCTCAGAAGAGTTGGGAACCAGTAATCGCCAGGCACCTTCCTTTATTTCCGGAGACGCGCTACTCCGGATCCTAAACGTGCTTAGACAAATTTTTCCAAGCTCTAGAGTTTAAAGAGTTACTGCAGCAAACATATTTAGAGATATAGCTACAACAATAGAAGCATCTTTTCAGACAGTCGTTTCTCAGGGTTTCAAGTGGCATTAGCTAACTTTTTTTTTTTTTTTGCAAGAATGTTTTTTTCCATTATGTCCTTAAACAAAAACAAAAACAAAAAGCAGCAACAACAAAAAGCCAGGGCCAAACCCAGGGCTATGCCCCTCTTGTAAAGCAAAGAAACCGTAACTTTTTCTTAGAGAGGAAAACAGCATACTTTAACTTTTTTAATCTTATGGAAGAAGTTTTTCTCTGTCCTCTTTCATACACACTAAATGGCTACCAGTGTATACCCACTGGCCATTTCTCTAACTAAAATCTGACTCATAGCCTGGAGGACAATGATTGATTTTTTTTTTCCACTTCACATCGCTGCTGTGAATTTCTGCTCACAAGGATGGGCCTGTTTATTCGCTCTGGGCATTGCAGGTAGAGCGCTAGAGGAAACAAGCCCAGGTTCAGGGTGGCTGGGAAGTGGGTGCTCTGTTTCCCGCGGGCAGCAGGGAAGGTGCGGCCGGCAAGGCGGGGCCGACCCTGTAGAGACCGCTTTCTGCTGGACGAGCCAGCGCCATTGTGATGCAGTGGGCGGGGTGAAGCCCTCAAGTACTGCCTCAATTTAGGTCTCCCCGCATCCAGGCCCGCACATTCCAGATTGCTAAACCCAGGTCTCAGGGGAAAACCACGAAGGCGGTGGCCAGCCACATCGCGCAGCAGTGCGCGCTCTGCAGGCAGACGCCGGGATACAGGGCACGCGGCTACAGAGGGCTGCCCACCTTCCCGGCCTGTGCGCGGCCCAGCTGGCCCTCCGTCCCGGTAGGAACCCGGGCGGGCGCGGGGAGGGCGCGGGCAGGCGCTGGCCTGTAGACCGGCGGTCAGGGCTTGCTGAGGCTCTTTCTGGCTACAACAACTTTCTAAAGTACGTCTTTCTAGTTTTAGATCATATTGCCTCTAACTTTGGCATCTAAACTTTTTGCTCCTAAACAATGTGCCTCCTTTTCTCAGAAACGTATTTTTTTTCCTAAACAGGATGTTTCAGCTGTGATATTGTCAGTGTGAGTGAGGCTCCCAAAATGTAGTGAGACTGCCATACCAGATGTTGAAGGAAGATAACTAAACTAGATATGAAAGTGCTCCATTCCCAAAGTTATGCAATTTAAAAAATATATATATATATAATTTTCAGTTGTGTCATACCTTCAGCAGAGAAAAAGATTTTTTAAACTTTTATTATTTTTGCATAGGGTTTCATTTTGTAGCCCAAGCAGGCTTCAGACCCTAGGCAGTTCTCCTGCCTCAGGCTTCAGGATTCCAGGCCTGCACCACCACACTGCCTGATTGGGACTTTCCTGATTTTGGTCTATAGGACGGGCTAAGTGAGTTTTTTTTTTCCCCTTGGGTGGATACCCAAAGCATGAAGATTTAATCCTAGGGGAGAGAGAGAGAGAGAGAGAGAGAGAGAGAGAGAGAGAGAGAGAGATCGAGAGATCGAGATCCTAAGCAAGTAATCATGCAGAGATGAGGTTGTCTGTGAAGGAGAAGCTTGGAAGCTTATACTTTGCAGTAACTTCTGCATGCTCTAGAAGGCATCTTTTGCCCTGTGGCTCCTCCTATGCACTGTGAGTGTTTGGGAATTGCTGCTGTTTCTGTGGCAGTCCAAGCACTACTGAGCAGCAGTGGAACCCTGTTAATTTTTGCTGCAGTGCAGTAGTATGGAGAGCCTCACTCTCCATGTGTGAGGTTAAGAAACTAGGTTTCTTGGGCCAATTCTAGGTATAGGCAGGGTGATCTCTGTGAGATGGAGCCCAGCCTGGTCTACATAGTGAGTTCAGGCCAGCTGGAGTTAGGGGGAGAGCCTGTCTCAAAAAAAAAGAAAGAAAGAAAGAGAAAGGAAGGAGGGAGGGAGGGAGGAGAGAGAGATAGAGAGAGAGAAAGAAAGAAAGAAAGAAAGAAAGAAAGAAAGAAAGAAAGAAAGAAAGAAAGAGAAACTTGATTTCTCCTTTGTTGGGAACTCTAGGCTCAGCTTTCTGGTGATAGCCCCAGGGATCATCAGGCCTGGAGGAAATGGGACTGTTGGGGTGGAGCTTCTAGAGGACAGCCCCTCAGAGAGCATGGTAAAGGTAGAGGTTTTCAAGACTGCATCAAACCAAATTGTTTCTGTTCTGGAAGCAGAAGGAATCTTTGAAAAAGGTGAGATAAATTGCATAGTTGAAATATGATAATAAACCATGGAACCTGAATTTACAGCAACTTCTACAATTCCCATCTAATTCTCACTCCTGTCAAGTCTGAAACTGTCCCTGAGTGTTCTTCCAAATGGAGATTTAGAGACCCAGGTTCCTTCCACATGTGGCCCCATATGCAGCTGGGAGGCTGCAAGGAGGAGCACGGAGTTTGTTATGTGGGAGGTGTTTGTGGGCTAGGCCCAGAAATGCTATTTGCCGCCTCTACTAATATTCAGTCAGCAAGGAGGCTGGGGAGCACAGGCTAGTGTATGCCAGAAGGGGGTAGTAATACCATGCTTACTGGTGCAATGGACTTTACTACATAAACAATGCTAACTGGGTGCAGTGGATTTTACTAGCCAGTGGGAAGAAAAAGAAGAGCAACACAACCCAGTTTTACAGAATGGTAGACCTGATTTTATTGACTAATAATAGTAAAAAAAAAGCAAAACCAAAAATCAATGGGAGGAAGTAACATGAAAAAGTAGCTTCATTTGTAAAAAGAACCAACATTTTTGGGTTCAAGTGTGAATTCTAATCTGGCCCAGGATTGTATTAGGCCAATGAATGTCTTCTTTTTCAGTACTAAGAGAAAAATAATTCTAGGAGTTATCACTTAATACTGAAGATATCGATACTTAAAATGGGAAGTTATTATAGTTTTTCCTGGTTGCAAGAGCACTGTATGTCCAGTGATTACAACTTGATAAACACTGACAGTAAAGGGAGTAAACTCAAATCACTGGTGATTCTGGCACTCAAATCTAAATGCTATTAATTAAAACCATATTACAGTAGGAACTGAGGCGTAAATTACTATGAATTTAGGAGTCAACTTAAAATAATCACTTAAGGGGCTGGAGGGATGGCTCAACCATTAAGACCACTGGCTGCTCTTCCAGAGGACCTGAGCTGGATTCCCAGCACCCACATGGCAGCTAACAGTCATCCTTAACTCCAGTTCCAGCGGCTTTGACACCCTCTTCTGACTCCATGGGCATTGCATGACACAGGTGCACTTACATACATGCAGGCAATACATTCATATACTAAAAATAATAAAATATTTTTTAAAAATCACTTAAGAGTGAAGAATAGATGAAATTCAACAACTGTCCTTTACATGAATGTTTATCCTTCACCAGCATAGAGACATTGACACCATCATCAAATGTGCTTCTTTGCACAGGAAGTTGACTGGCTGGGTGGGTAAATTGGGATGGGAATCAGGAAGAGGGTATGCTGGGGCCAGGCTGTTTTTCATGTGGGGGAGCAAATTCAGAGAAATGAGGCCTTGTTTTCCTGGAGAGGAAGTGTGGGTTAGTTTTAAAAATTGGAGCTTTTAGCTGGGCATGGTACTGCACACCTTTAATCCCAGTACTTGGGAGGCAGAGGCAGGAAGATCTCTGTGAGTTCAAGACCAACCTGATCTACATAGTTCCAGGACAGGCTGAGGCTACAGGGAGACCCTGTCTCAAAAAGACCAAAAAAAAAATCTAGTTCAGTTAGGATGGTCTTCTGGCGGAGACAATGTTGTTAACTGTACTTTTCATCTGTGTAGATCAAGATCAGTCCCATGGTTTTTTGAAAGTATATTAATTAGCATAGTGTTTGGGTGGATCTTCCAGGGCAGGTTTTCACAGGCAGCTTTGCAAGTGGAAATCAGTCTGAACCTGTAGTTAGGTGAGGATTTTAAAGGGTATTGGCTTTTCATTCACATATCTTTGCTATTGTGTGAGATATGTATTAACAGGAGGGTGAAGGCTGAGGATAAAGGACCTCAGTATACTAGGCTTGCTCGGCTTTGGAGCTAGATTACCTGGATGCAGGAGACTGTCAAGATTTCTGCAGGTTTCTGTTTTATCATCCAATAAATAGTGATTTCTGACTTATGTGTTATACACTTATTGTGAGGATTAAATGAAGAAATATAGTTAAAACGCTTAACAGGTAGGAATTGTTCACTGCTGTTAGTAGAAAAGAATAGCAACCATTCATGTCCAGGCAATTATTAATCACGTATTGAGATGACCCTGGACTAGGAACTCTCTAAAAGGCCTCTCAGTAAGAGGGAATCAGAAGGCATTTAGTACCTTAAATCAAATATTGTTTGATTATAGTGCCTGGGACTTTACATACAATATTTAATATCCTATGAAATAGGCACTATTATGCCGAGTTTGGAGATGAGGGAACTGAACTGAAGAGCGAACATTAGGTTTTCCTGACTTGAACAGGTCAGTTAGTAAATGGCAAAGCCTGAACCTGATTCTGTCTGGGGTTCAGATGCTGTAAGATCTGGTGGAGTTACCTTCCTCTAAAACCATCTTCACATTTACTTGCAGTGTATTAGACTCACATCATATGAAATCAAATTTGGATCTACAGAAATACAAGATGAGTCAGGTATGGTGATGCACTGCTGCAACCCCAGCACTGAGATGGCTGAGAAGAAAGACTGAGAGTTTGAGGCCAGCCTGGGCTCTATAGTAAGACTGTCACAAAACAGAACAAAACAAAACAAAGCAAAACAGATAATAGCAATGATGAAAAGAGCAGCAGAAAGAATAGTAAGATCAAATGCCACCTTTTCTCTAACTTCTTATGACCACTGAAGAGTTTGGGATCCTAGAGGGAAATCAAAGAAGTCAATTGGATCACCTCATTTATGGCTAAGGAGACTGTAGAGAGGCCTGGTGTTTGGGGCCCTGTCTGAGATCAAGCTGTTATTGGTGGCAAAGCTGGAGATGGATCATAGTTCTCCAAATCTTCAGGCAGCATTCCATTATCCTCTAGAAAACTACTCTAACATATGGAGAACTGTGTTTAAGGTCTAGGATATATTTAAAATGTTGATTCTGTATGGAAGATCAAAGGGTAGGGGATCTTAAAAACACCTGTGCATTTGTACAAGAGTCTTAGTCAGCTCAGGGTGGGGTCGTTCTTTGTGGATGACTGGTTCTGCATCCACAACTGGGCTAGGAACATGAGAGATTTTTAAGAAATTAAGTTCTATCATCCTGTTTCTCAAAGTGTGAATTGTACTCATACAAGTGTCAATTCATGGCCACCCTTCAGACGTGGGTAAAGTACTGCGTCTTACCGATGTTAAATGAGAACAACTACCTGTCAGTGTTTTCCAAATTGTACTTGACCACGTGGAAAACCTGGGCGTGAAAGGCAAGCCCCAGCAAGCTGATGACTCACTGCCGAGAGAGGGCCCTCTCGGACTTCTGAACCTGCTGCTGAAGCAGCCCCCAATCTTAACACTTGGTGTTAAGTTTCAGCAGTGGAAAAATGTGTTTTGGGGTTTGATTGTGAATCAGTGATTGAAGTTGAAAGTAAACACTAATTCTTAAAACCCCAAGTTAAGCATGCAGTGTTCTCCTACTAAACAGTCATTGTCCTCATGACTCACTGAAGGGTTGTGGTAGAAAGAGAAAGCAGACCCCTTAAGAGTTTGGTCTGGGTTACTGTTGATCCTTCGTATTCTCTTAAGACAGCATTCTGATGCTGAAACTTGTCTTTTCTCGAAGATGATTCTCTTCATTTAGTATTTTGTGAATGAATAAGGGGTGGGGGTAACAAGAGGATGGATAGGATCCAGAAGAATAACATATAAAATTAAAACTGTAAAGCTGAGTGTTGTGGATCATACCTCTAGTCCCAGAATTTGGGAGGCTAAGGCAGGGCAGGAGGATTGCCATGAGTTTGAGGTCAGTTTGGGTTTCAGAGTGAGACCTTGTCTCAATAAATCAAACCCCACCTTCTCCAAAAAAGTGCAAAGAAGTCAATCACTGGGTACTACTTTACAGGTAGATAGGAGTGAGAAGTTCAGGGTGCTATTGGTAGTGTTAGATATAACACAAGGGACTGTGCATCCAAAAGCTACTGGGCCAGTCCTGGTGGCATACACCTTTAATCCCAGCACTTGAGAGGGAGAGCCAGATGGAACTTTGTGAGTTCTAGGCTATCCGGGTCTATATATTGAGTTTCCAAGCCAGCAAGGGCTACAGAGTGAGACCTTGTCTCAAAAAAAGGTTGTAAAAGGGGTGAGATATCTCACCAGGGTAAGATACTTCCCACCAAACCTGGCAACCTGAATTTAGCCCCCAGGATCCAAATGGTGGGAAGAGAGAACTGACTCCACAAAACTGTCCTCCAACCTCTGCAGGTTTGCTGTGGCATGCACGTACACTCACACAAATAAATCAAAATTTAAAAAGCTACAAAAGGATTTTGAAAGGTTTTGCCATAAAGAAGTGATAAATGTTTGAGGAAGTAAATCTGTTTAATCTGAAATTTAAACCTTACACAATGTATAAATGCATTGAAATATCACATTGTACTCCATAAATATGTATAATTTTTGTGTGTCCATTAGTTAGTATAGAAGAAAAAAATATTTCTGGCATGAAAGATAGGGTCAATGCTAGTGCCATATACTACTAATGGTGTCTAGAAGGTTGGAGGAGTTTTTCCCTATTGTATGTAAATGAAGTTCCATGTAGTTTGAAAATAGTGTTTCTTATGTATGACTCTGCGCTTGGTACTGTTACCTTGTTACTTCCAGAGGGACAAAGATGTCCATTCATAAATGTCCCAGCTCTGCTATGGCATATTTGGTGTTTGGTAGGAACCATTAATCCATTCTTTAGAGAAGGGAACCATTCTTTACAGAAGGGAAGGGTATGCTGGAGGAAAGAGATGATGGCCGGAAATGGCTTTCATGGGAGGGAGATAGCAGATATTTTTGTATGTGTTTTCTGAAAGTGTGCTTCATTCTTCTTTGGAAGTAAGTTTGGAGAGGCAGCAGGTGGGGATGTCCAACTCTTTTCAAAGTGTAGCTCTGTAAGGCATTGTTTTTGTAGAGACTAACAGTATTTGTAACACTAATAATCCATGATCTGTACAAGAGAGACAGCTTAGGGAAGAACAAGACTGATGCAGAAGATTGGATGAGGG